GAGAGAGAGAGAGAGAGAGAGAGAGAGAGAGACTTAATTAACTATGTTTACCATAATGTGTTTAACACAACAACACAAACTTACCGCAAATAATATCAAGCGTGCACTGAGTGATGGGTTCCCTGATGTCAATATAGCCGTGTTTGTCAACCTTCATGAGTTTGTTGACCAACACATCCGACTGTTCGTTCATAATGGGTATGAAGTCGTCCAAAATGCGGAAATGAAAGGCCGAAGTCAATAGTTTCCTGCGTTTTCTCCACTTATTACCGGTGCTCAACAGTAAGCCGTCGCCCAACCAATCAAATATGTAAAAGTATTGCTCAGATTTGTCTATTTGTGAGTTACTCGCAAATATTGCCTAATGGATAATGTCATAACACAACCAAAACGATCTTGATTAATCAATTATTTATATAAAAACGAGTCAGTTAATTAAAATTAATGTTTTTTCTGTTGCTAAGTTATATTAAAATTAGCAAATTTACTCTGGTGTGTTTTTACCAAATATATTAATAGCATTATAAATAGTTTATGATTTAACATGTTAAATAATGATAATTACATCCATAGTGTTGTGCTTGAATAATACGACCAACGCTTTGGGGCCCAAATCGATCCTGAACATTCCGTGCTTGTCGTACAACTTGCACAGAGCGACCAATGTTCTGTAGACACCTAGGTACAATTTAATTATTACCTTGTACATTGTTAAATAACATATACATTAATTTCAAAAATGAACTTGATAAAAATAGACTTACATTCATTGAGAGGCACCCCTTTATGGCGAAACAGGTCTATATTGCCCATAAGGGGATACTTAGCCTTTGGCCCCGGGATGAGTGCCAATAGATCCTGAGTTCGCTTATTCTTCTGCTTATAGTAGACATAAAATGCAATAATTGTCACAAAAGCTATGGCCGCGAAAATGCCAATACTGGCCAGAAGTGTGGGCAACATATTTGTGCCCAAAAAATAGTTGTATAACTTTTATTATTAAATGATAATAATTAAAATCACAATTAAATTATACACTTTTAAATGATTTAATGTATGCAAAGACTGAGTACTTTTGAGTAGAAAATTCAATACAATTTATAAACTAATATCTATTTTTGAAACCCTGTTTATAATGCGATTTCCAAACAGACTTTGAGCTGTTATACACTGATAGTCGGAGATTATATCAGATAAAAGTACCCACAAAATTAAAATCCAAACTTTTGACATATATTATTTAAATAAACAATATTTATCACGTTTAAAAGTGTTTACTTTTAATATTTTTAACACCTTTTACATTAAACTTTTTTTAAACAATTTTTAAACAAAAAAATTCACAAACTCATGATTTGAATAAGTGCATGATGCACTAGTTATTATAGAATAATCATAACATATTATGTAAATCAGCTTGTTTATCTCGAAATTAAACAACACAATTCCATTCACTCATATTTACCAAGGTGCTTCACACAATTGGAAAATAAACAAGTTGCAATTATTAAAAACAATTCCCATTTGAACGACAAGTTGTGACAAATTTTTGACAGAATTTACATTAAATTTTACACTGAAATTGTCAATACGTTTATTACAAAACAAAACTACATTCAACAAAGTAGAAAATATTTAAATATTTTTATCAAAACGTGAAACCAAACAAAAAACATGAAGATCTAAAGGGAAAGGAAAGTAAAACAACAAAATCCTATATATAAACTGATGCTTAAGATTAATGATTGACAACGTTTTTGAAGGTTAGACACAAACTTATTATTATTATTTTCAATATCAATGTATTCACAATATATATTGAATGGGAAAAATGTTAATAGATTTCATACATTGATATTAAATTAAAAATATGAACCAATGCTTTGGATACATTAAATACAAGTTTTTCTACATTAATCATTTATCTTAGCCCTAGACACTACACACTACAAGGCCGTCCATTTATGCCGTAAATATACAATTTAGTACTAATTGTAATACAATTACATTACTTTTTGAGGCAGTGTTAGATTTGAGTACACTATACCTGTATAGTGTATACACATATTATGTACACAAACAGCGATTAACAACAATTAGCGCACAAATAGTGTCGCAAACACAATATTGTCGTCATTTTAATAGCATTATAACTGAATTGTATTGAATATTTCCTCATAGGATATGTATATAAATAAATAACCTTTTATTTCATTGAAAAATATTTGTTGTGTTTTATTTTCGACAAAAAAATTAATATTTTGTATCATTGAAATTAAAAATGCTTAAATAATATTTATTACCATTATTTAATACTTTATTATTTAAATATCAAGTTGTTTTTTACAATTAATTAAGCTATTCTAACATTGCGTTACAAACATTTTGTAATAATTTGATTAAACAAACTAAATGTTTGTTGAAAAAACAATTAATGTACCAAAACACAAATTAAAATCTAGAGAAATATATGTTGTTAAACTAGTAACTTATGTTAAATTATATTCAAAAAATGTTGATGGCCAATACAATAATAATAATAAACTTCAAAATTACATATTACGAAAAATAATTAGTAAATTTAAATAAGGTAAAATTACCAAACTCGACAAAGTGAGAAAATGCGATAAAACTATAAAAACTTTTGAGTATAAAAATCAATCCTAAGAATGGCTTTGCATGTCCCACAAATGCCTAATCAATTTAATACCATTGAAAAATTTTATAATTAAGTATAGTTTGTTTGTGAGATTAACTATACTTTTGATTTACTTCTGTATTTAAATTTTTTGATTAATTAATTGTGTATTTAATTTAGTTAGCTTACATTAAAAATACTTGTTAAAAGATTTAGTTAATTAGCTTTTAATTTAATCACCTTAATCAAGTTACTTAAATACTACATTAATTATATTTTAATCAAACATTATAAAAACTATATTACAAATTAACATATTAATTAAATTTTATTAAAATCCCGTTAAACAAGTATAACAAAACAGCAAAATTTGATAAAATAAATAATAATTTATAAAAACAATTATTTTTATAAATAAATATCTGCAGAATATAAAAGAAATTAATTCACTAATCATTACATAACATAACAATAATATTCAGAGCAGACAGTAATAGCATCGAGTTTACAGTAAGTGTGCACAAATACAAGTAGACACATTAAATAAAACAGTTATATTTATGATTTAATCAGAATTATTATTTTAAATCCCAATTACAATGAATTGATTGCAATTCATAGGCATTCACTTTGAAAACACTTTTCGCATATTTAATATCCATTGAATTTATTTATTGCATTCAAAATTCATAACAATTGTGTCAAATAGTTGTAAAAATAGGTGTTAATAATTAATCTATTGAATTAGATCATGTGTCTAGTTATTGGATACACGTATTCTTATACCAATAAATTAACATGGTATTAAAAATAATTTATAAATACATTACAAAATTAATAGTACCGTAATAAATATTATATAAATATAACAATGAATTTATAAATATAAATTGCTTTATTTAAATTATACTTCATTTATTTATAACATTACAATTTAAGATGGTAAAATTTATCAATATTGCAAAACAATTAAATAACTCTCCATAAATTTAAATAACAAATTAATAATTGATAACTTAATTAATATTTATTAATTGTATTGTTTATTAAACACAGACATGTGATCCGATAAATCACATGTGTGTTTGTATATTGTGTTTATTTTAGCGTAATTAAAACAAATACAATTTTTACTATTTTACTATTTACTGTCTGTCATGTGAATTTCGAGTGAATCAATAAATACCTGCATTTTATTTATAATTAACTTATTATACACTGAACTACACATATAGTGAACATAATTAAAGCCTTTAATGAAATACAGCATACCTTTAATTTAAAGGTATGCTGTATTTCAGTAAATTATATCTACAAATCTTTTCATTGAAACACATTATAAATGATTTGTTATCTTAAGAATATTCTGTTAATTTCTAAGTAATTACAAACGGTTTTATGTATAGAATCTCAGTATAGAGTATGGAATATATACTCTATTATACATAATAAAGATGTATAAAAAATTACAATTAAACAAACAAAATGATTTAATATTTATATTAAACTAATTATAGTCAAAACAACAGCGAATTATCACATCTCTCTCTCTC